ATTCCAAGCTATGTTATGAGTTGTTACAAGCTCCCAGTAGAAATCTGCAACGAAATTGAAGGGATGATAGAAAAATTCTTATGGGGATCGAGAAATGGAGAAAGGAAGATTCACTAGTTACAGTGGGATAGGATGACTAGAACTAAGAAGGAAGGAGGAATGGGGTTTTGAGGCATTAGTGAGTTCAATACTAGTCTACTTGGGAAGCAGTACTAGAGATTACTTAGGAATAAAGACTCTTTTGTTGGCAGGGTTCTTAAAGGTAGTTACTTCCTAAAATGTGGCATTGATGATTGCACTACAGGCTATAATGCAAGTTATGCTTGGAGAAGTATTATGAGCGCCAAACAACTGGTCCACCAGAGTTCTAGACGGAGGATAGGAAATGGATTGAAGGTGTCAGTGGCCAATGATAGGTGGATTCCTAGGAATCCTAGCTTAGAGCTTCTGCAACATAGTTCTACCCTCGATCCTGAATGGAATGTTTATGATTTAATTGATGCTGATATTGGTCGATGGAAAGAAGATATGATTTTCTTCACTTTTGGGCAGGCTGAGGTTTTGCAGATTGTTGGCATCCCCTTATCTCAAAGAACCATTAATGATGAGCTTATCTGGAATTATGAATCAAAATGCAATTACTCAGTGAGATCTGCCTAGTAGTTGTGCTTGAAGGACCACATAAGCTCAAAACCTGGACCCTCATTTGACCCAAACCAGAAGTTGTGGAAACTGATTTGGAAAATTCTTCTTCAGAACAAATTCAGGAGTTTCATGTGGAGACTTGTTAGAAACATCCTTCCCACACGAGACAACCTTAGGAAGAAAGGTATTACTCTTGATTCATCCTGTCTTTTCTATAACTCAAATGCTGAAACGGTGGACCATATTTTTCTAGATTGCGTTTTTGTTAAGCAAACTTTTTTTCTCCTCCATCCTTAGCCTTAGAATTTTGTCAAAAGATGGTATTTGTAGTTGGATTGAGGAGTCTTTGGCTTCTAAGTTTCCTTGGTCTGTTAAGTTATTAGTTCTACCCTTTATAAAATCTGGCTTGCAAGGAATTCAATTGTCTTTCATGCTAGGACCTCATCCCCTTCACAAGTGGTTGCAGAGGCTCTTCTTACGATGTAAGAGTTTAATGCTTGGAATGAAGAAAAAAAAGCACAGGCCCATTCCTAATACTGACGAGTCTGACTCCAAATGAAACACTGTCATTGTTCAGGTCGACGCGTGAGCTTTTGAAGAAGGTCTATCTGTTTTTGGCTGCATAGTCAAGAACCAAGAAAACAAGGTCCCTCTCTCAGCGTGCAAATCTGAAAAGAGGCTATTAGACCCTATTGCTGCAGAATGTTTTGCCATTAGGTGGGGTATACAACTTGCATTGAACATTAATATTGGGAATTTCTTACTTCAATTGAATTCTTTGAATGTTGTTGATTGTATTAATTTGTGTCAAGAGTATGCTAGAATTGAACCTATTGCAGAAGATTGTAGAATCCTCCTTAGGAACTGTTTTGGTAGATCTATTATGTTTATTAGCATAACCAAAAATCTTTTTGCTCATGGTCTTGTGAGAGTGGGGAAAGTTTTGGGTTCTAGGACTTAGCTAGTGATCAATGTCTGTCAGTGCCTTCCGCAAGTATACAGACTACGTCAGAGTAATATAAAAGATTATCGTTCTCACAGAGACCAATGTCAAGCTATCTATAACTATTATTACGGTGTTCTATTTTAGGTTAATCAAACAGGGTTGCAGAGTGCACAGAAAGTAATGAAGATAAAATAAATTCAGAGAAATAATGTTGAATTGCAATTCACATCGATCAGACAATACTCCTATCACATCTAATAGAATTACTTATGAGGCAGTATTTTCTTCCTTGAAAAGAGTTAATTAAAAAGGAATTGTCACGTTAGCATAATCGGAACTAGATATGACCTCTAATCTATACCATCCGCTCACGCTGCCCGGTCGCATCTTGCGTTAAAGTGAAAAATCCTTTTTTATGTAACTACCTCTAAGACTCAATTAAAAAGTGCTTTTGATTGGAAACTTTTAACACGCAAGGGTTTCCGGCATATGCTCAGTCAACCGGGTCTTAAACCTATGAACGCGTCCAAAATTAGTTTTAAAATCACTTTCTAATAATATTAAACTTCCCAAACTGATTAACAAAGTGCTTCTACTGTTTTTATCAATCAAAGACTACCCAATTTTTATCTTCCGTGTCGGACGACTTTTGATCTTACCCGACGTAATCACGGATCTACTTTCGTATATCCGATCAGATAAACCATAAAAAATTATATTAAAACCAAAATAGCTCCTAAAGCATTTCTACAGACTTAACATACGAAGTACCGTCGAAACGATGATCCTCACATTCCAGCACTTAAAGATTTAGCTGGACATGACTACAGTAAACAACATAGCATATAATTTATTATTAGAATAAGTCATTTAGGGAAAAACGTGTTAAGTGTGCAATTGGTTTTGAAAAGACAACGACAAGAACAACAGGATAAAGTAAACGTGCGAGACAATAGAGAAATTAAAACGAAACGGTTAAATCAAGGCAGTGCAAGAAATAAATTATAATAAAGGCAAATGCGGGAAAATAAACAAAATGTGATGCGAGATAAATAGATAATAAAAATTGCGAATGAATTCAAAACTTGCTTTAAATCAGAGACTTGAATCTGGTACAAGATTGGTAAAGAAAATAACGACAAGCCTCTACTCTATGATTGCTTCACACTTGCTCACAACAATGGTGCGATAATCCCTCGATGTGACGAATGATCTCTTTTATAAAGTGAATCTATGCCTATTCTGCGGCTATGAGTAGATGCCTAAATATTGAGAAACTAGGTCCTGTATATAGAAAAACATTGCCTTGGACGTCAAGTTGGGCCTTCAGAAATCGTGGGAGAGAACTCCTCTGGTCATGGCTTCAACCTCTCAACCGCCCTTGATTGGTTCCACCTTTATGAAGATGGCGCCCGCCACCAGAGCATGGCGTCCGCCATGTGTGTAAATTGTGGTGGACATGGTCTTCTGGCCGTTTGGTCATGGGAAAAATCCTACTCCTCATGGCTACCCCCATGTGGAACGACATATGTGTAATTGACCCTAAAATCTATGTTTTTTCGCTCGTTTCTTTTCGTTTCTTCGTGAAAGGCTCTTATTGGACAATGTACCAAAAAATAAGACAAAACACAAACATAATGCAAGAAAATAACAATTAAATGATAATAAACATGTGCAATCCGAGTCAAATATGCAGTGTGTTTCAGTGTTATCAAATTCTCCCACACTTAAACCTTTGCTTGTCCTCAAACAAACTCTTATGAGCACAAAAGAAAAATAGTAACACACATGTATTCAATTCAGACTATAGACTTTTAGTTAAATCAAGGTTGTGTCGGTAGGTACTAACTAATGAACCAAGGATATCGTAGTGAAACTTTTCGCTGGTCGCGGTCATAAGTGTCCTTCTTATACAAACCAATATGTATCATGTTATCATACCTAGGCCTAACTCACTCATCCCTCTTTTATCCTTTTTCATTCAGGCGTAATCACATTAAGCCCGTTATCATGTATTCGCATGGTGAAAAAACCTATTGGTGATCCTGATCCAATATTATGTCAATGTTCAATGAATTGTTTTTCTTTTCAACACAGACACTTAAGCATATTTTTTAAAGTTTCGCTATCGTTGGGCTATATAATCAGATGAGGGTTACCCAACTTAGAAGGTGGATCATTTTTTAAAATATTTGCTTTTCTACATGTATTTTCTTTCTTTCTACTGGATCATTCACCTATTTGCATCATTTCGTCCATTTAGCGGTATCTAAGATGGTGTTTGTTGCACCCCAAAATTTTCCCTCACTTTTTAACCTTAACTAGATTTTGCTTCGCGTTCATTTTGCACCATCATTAGCCATACCTCATAATCATACTTTGCATGGTCTTCTGAGACGTGGGATTAGAAGATTTCCTTGATGTTTGTGCTTGCCCTATTCAGAAGAGTCATAAGAGACATGTGATCAAGTTTCCAATATGGGTGTGAATCAGGTGTGCATTTGAGAAAAGATCATGGTCTAATTTATGGACATTCATCAGGTGAAGATCATGGGGTTAGAGTGTCATGTAAAAGGGATTTGTGGTCGACAGGACAAGTCATTTTGTGGTTCGATTTGAAGGGGCATTATGCCATGATCGTTTGAGTTTACTATTTGAATTTTTTTGGGATTTATTGAGGATATGATTTTGGTGTGGATTGAGAATTTGACTGAAATTAGACAGGTCAAGACCAGTCATGTTGAGTTGTGGGGAATTCAAGATGCAAGTTCAATTAACCATTTACTCATTCTTAACCCTTTTTCCAAAATCAAATTCATGTGGATACCCATTTCCTCACCATCCAAAATCTATTTTAACCATTTATGTCATTTTTTCTAATCCAATTCCATTTCTTTAAATTCATATAAAAAAAATCCAATTCATTTATCCATTTTTATAACCAAAATCCATGTTAATTCAAATAACCATATTCATATCCGTTAACCACTTTCAATATCCACATTATTTTCCATTTTCATTTTTATCCACAAAATCACTTTTATATATTCTATCCATTTTTTAAATCCATTTGTTGATCCATTTAATTTATATATGTTTTTTTTCTTCTAACCAATTTGTCTAAATCCACTAATCAACAAAGTCCATTGTCCAATTCATCTTAAGCCCAATACAAAATTCTTAACTTGTTTCACCTAGCTATAAAAGAAAAAAAACATTGGCTGAAAAGAATGGATGCCACGCGGCGCCTCCCTTCTTGAAACAATCAGCATTTAATTCATCTTTTTCTCTTTCATAAGGACACCAACACAATACATTTTTTCACAGAAAAAACCAAACCAACAACACACAAACTCCCAAAAAAAAAATCTTCACTCCTCTCTGTTTTTTTCTTCATATTAACCAAACCATGGAATCAAATCCTAAAAATACCACCAAGGTCCTCCTTAGCTATGGCGGTAAACTTCTCCCCCGCTGCCCCGACATCAAACTCCGCTACACCGGCGGCCACACCAGAGTCCTCACGCTCTTTCTCCCCATTTCTTTCTCAAAATTGATGGTGAAGTTTGTAGAATTATGTGGTTCATCAGTTACATTGAGGTGTCCTTTACCGAACGGGAATTTAGAGACGTTGATTTCAATCACTAGCGACGAAGATCTGGCAAATGTAATCAAAGAATACGATCGGGCTTCTTCATCATTACATCATCCATTAAAGATCAGAGCTGTTCTTTCACCTCCCAAATCCCTGAAGAAAGTATCTACTCCATAATCTTCTTTATCCAATGCAACATACTCTTTGTCCGGTTTGCTTTACGCGTCTACCGAATCACCACCATCCACTGTACACCTTTGTTCACCTCCTTCAAACTCTCAACAACCAAGCCCTTTTGCTTCAATCCATTTCGTATCTCCATCCCCAAATCTTCAACCACAACCTAACCACTTTCCGTCTCAAACCTCTTATAACACCCAAAACAAATCTCTAATAATAAAAACTAGATTGCAGAGGAGAGATGAAGAAGATAAAACACACAAATAAACCCAAACCAAAATCCCATACAAACCCTTTGAACAAGATTGGTGAAAAGGGGAGAACAAAGAGGGATTAACAAGAAAAACATGGTGGAAACAGAGAGTGAGAGAGCAAAAGCGATGCGAAGATCTTTGGAACCCGTTTTGAGCTCGTCGTCGTAACTCATTCCAGTGCTCACTGTTTGTTTTCATCGATCTCCACTGCTCCATCGTGTTTGTCAAATCCTCGGTTTTCAACCCACTGCGCATTCCCCTGTTTCTCGGTCGTATTTTTGAATGATAGAATTGATGCATCGTGAACTGATGAAGTTTTTTCCATTTTGTTTTTCTTAAAAAAAGGAGGATTCAGTTTTTTTTTCTTTCTTGATTTTTGCCTTGGTGATGGATTGTTTGGCTGCGATTTGCGCTTAAGGGCTCGTGCATCTCCCAATCCACACATCTTCTTTCCATTTCACACACGCCCTGTTTCTTTATCATCCCCCATTTCCATTTTTTTTCCTCTTTGCCTATGTACCATTTGTGGGGATGAATGGGCCCAAGTGGCCCATGATGATTCCCGTTTTTATTTATTTTATTATGCACCCACTGTTAATATAAACCCCCTTTTCTCTTGTTTTATTATTTTATTTTTATAAAATAGGTTTGTTAGAATTTCTTGTAATTTATTCTAAATAAGTTTTAGAATTTTTGATATTTTATTCTAAATAAGTTTTTAAATATTGTAAACTATTTTTTTAATTAAGTTTTTAAGGGTTTCTTTTTATATAATATTTATTCTAAATAGCATTTTTAGAGTTTTTAATATTTTAGTTATCTAGGTTTTATTGATTTTTTTTAAAAAAAATTCAATATCCTCTTCCCTAACTCTTAAAATTTAACTGTGAATATGTTTTTTCTCAACTAATTTCACTTTCATTTTTTTTCATTTATTCGGTCGATGACGAAACCTCAAAAATCATTATCAGTCAAACTATTGATAGATAAAGGTTTGTCCAAGACCACCTTCTTTTCTCTTTCAATTTCTTATTCATTTTCCATTTTTATTTAGTTTTCTCGATCTATGAAGTCTTTTGATTCGTAAGCGTCGATTTATCGAAGTCGATAACCTTTGCAATTTCAAATCTAGGGAAAATGACCATTTGGGTCATTTTCTTTACTTTGGGATCGTGATAGGCTATCTTCGATTAATCGACATGATGTTTACAATTAAGATGAGATCCCACCTTTTTTTGTCCGTGCGACATAATTTAATTGGAGAATGATCCTCAATATCATTTCTCCATCTTTTTTTTAGCACGAATGTTGATTTACGCGACCTCTTATAGTTCGACTTTTATCACAAGTCGAGCTACGACGGTTTAGCGTTACATTTTGTCCCGCTTCAATCCGCTAACAAACTAACCACTAACATTACTTTCAGTCGAATATACCACTGTTTTATTTTCAGTCGATATTATCTTGTTCATATACTCAGTGACATTTATTTTGATATATTACTATGAATATTCTTGTATATATTGTTATATATCCTTTATATTATCCGTATCCTGTATATATTCATATTCATTTCCTATATTATTCACATCTTTTCAAAACTTCTTCTCAAAACTTTTTCCTAAAACCTTGGTCTCGTACCAAGTGCATTTTCAAATTCTTTTCACAATAAACTTGGATGGTCGTGGAGTGGTTAGGCGTAGGCCTTATCCTATCCCGAGTTCTTGACATTACCTTTAGGGTTCCATGTCGCAAAGCACTTACCATTTAAAATTAAAACGTCTTTAATAAAGAGAATAAAGTTTCTCTTTGTTTTGAACTAAAGAGAGAGGATTAAGTGTTGAATTCTTCCTCTTCGAGTTTCAGGATACTCACTGTAGAGTGTGTGGTCTCGATACTCGTCTTTTAATACGAAGACGTGACTGTATTTGTCACACTGTTTTCATAATAATTCTTTCGAGATAAAGAATTTGGTACTACCCGTAAGGGGTTACTATCCGAGGATCTATTTCACTCCTAAAAACAAATCAAACGTGACATCTTGCCTTGATGGCGAAAATTAATCTTTTCAAAAAGGATATGTTACGTCCGTTCTACCACAAACAGGTAGCGCCTAAGACTCCACAAGCAAGCTGCAATACACCTAACTGCTAGAATGCGTACGTAAACATCATCCATCAAAAACACCGGTTAAACGTTACCCAAACTACGTTTGCTCTGATTTCTCATACTAGATGAGGATACGTAGGCACAAGACGGCGATGTCTTGGCGAGAACTTTTTACACCTTTCACTCGTAGTTGGCTGAACTATGGATGCTCTGATTCCTTATTCCCTAATAAGGATACGTAGGCACGAGGATCTCTATCCTTGACGAGCACACTAATAACTAACTTTCCTTTTCTCTTGCCCTAGTGCAATCGATACCAACCTGTTATTCAAACCTTTTCTCTCGCCCCAGCGTGATCGAGACCTTTTCCCATAGTTTCTCGAACTACGTGGACTCTGACTTTCTCATATCTGTTGAGAATACCTAGGCCAAGGACCACGAAGTTCTACCGAGTCTCTTCTCCCCCTTTATCTCTCTTTTCCCTGTTTTTAGCTTTTCTCTTTATCCCTTTGGAACACTCTTTATAGCAATAAACTTTGGAAAATATCTTCACACATAGACAAACAAATAGTTCCTATCGAGTACGATGGATGTGAGGGGTGCTAATACCTTCCCTTCGCATAACCGGCTTTCGAATCCTTTCTCTTGGTTGCGAGACCATCTTATCCGTTCTTTTCTTAGGGTTTTCTCAATTTTTACCCTTTCCCTCATGGGATAAATAAAGTTCGATGGTGACTCTTTTGTCTTTCTATTCTCGCCTCTCCGTCGTTGCATTTTTTTGAGTAGCGACAGCTGGCGACTCTGCTAGGGAAACCTAGCAAGCCCAACCTAGTTTGTTTGTCGCATTTGTTTTTTTTTTTGTTTTCATTAATTTATTGTTGTATTCCTCTTACATGTTGGGTTTATTTGGGATGGTTTGTAAGGATAAAAGCTTTCTACCCGAGCTTGCTAGTATATACTAAGTTAGGAGGTGGATTCTTTCTGATTTGCGAGACTTAGAACTCGTTGAGTTGGTTTGAATTCCACCACTCAGATGAGGCCCCTTTGAGATAATTATGTCTTACGAGTAGTCATAATGGCATCTTTATTTCCGACCTGGGAGTCCGTGACTCTGAGGACCCTTTATAGAACCTTATTCCAAAGGTTACAAAAACATAACTCTATGTTTATCCTTTGAAAGGATTACCGTCTTACGAATTGTCGTTGTGATGGAAAACTCTTGAGGGTTAGTGCATAGGACTTTGTTTAAAGCCTTTGGGATGCCCTCTTATAAACCAGTAGATTGCCCACCCGAGGTGAGAGATATCTCATTGTGTTGTCTTGCAGGATCAGTGACCTTGATCCCGCGTCTGTTGCATTAGCATCTTGTATTGTATTAGCATCTTATTTTTGCATATCCTTCCTCAGCTAGAAACAAAGAGCTCACCGATCTTTTTTCCAACCCGTAGTTAATTTCTTGACACTCGCATTGGACTTGAATTATCTTTTAGAAGAATCATGAACTCAGGAGAGAAAAAATCGATTGTTACAAGGGCATAGTTTGAATTGATGAAGAATCAGCTAGATCAACTCATAGAAGCCATGACAGCTATGGCAAAGGGAAAGGCCAATATTCAGAGGACTCTAGTTAATGAGGATGTTATTCCACCTTCAGTGAACAATGTTGCTCAAGCTCAGCCTATGCAGATTCCTGTTGAAGATCCAGTTATACAAGAGAGTACCATTGTCTGAGATAGACATTCGTCTTCTCTCAATGACACAGGATATCAGAATTTCACATTCTCTGTGCCATATTTTCAAGGGGATGTCCCAAAGATTAATCCTAAGGACTCACAGACTGTTGAGTATATGAGAAGATATCGTTTGCTAGAGGGAAAGCTTGACACCTTAATGGGTCATGATACTCTTAATCTAAATACTTCAAGCATGTGTCTGGTATCAGGTCTTGTAATGCCTCCGAAGTTTAAGACACCAAATTTTGAGAAGTACAAAGGGGATAGTTGTCCGAAGCAACATTTGGTGATGTTTTGCAGAAGAATGACCTCATATGTCCATAACGACAAGATTATGATTCACTGTTTCATGGACAGTCTGAGTGGGGAATCATTGAGTTGGTACATGCAATTAAAGAGTGGTTGCATCTGATCATGGTCAGACTAAGCCAATGCCTTTGTGAAGTAGTACAATTACAATCTCGACATGACTCCAAGTCGCATGCAATTGCAAGACTTATCTCAAGCGAATAATGAATCTTTCAGAGCGTATGTTCAAAGATGGAGAGAATTAGCTGCACACATTCAACTACCACTTCTAGACAAAGAATTGGTTGACCTGTTCATGGGTACTTCGCAAGGTCCATACTTGGATAAGATGATTGGTAATGGGGCATTAAACTTTTCTGACCTGATAGTAATCAGGGAACGTATTGAGAGTGGACTCAAGAGTGGAAAGATTCAAGACACCTCAGACCTCTTAGTTAGTGAAAGCGAGTCAGTTGTCAGTTCTCAAGAAGAATGGGAGAAAGAGAGTAATTCCATCAGGGAATCCCTAATACCTCAGATTTAGTCTTCGGATATTTCGACTGTTCAGAGTTAGCAATCTTCTAGGTCTTTGTATCAGTTATCTTTTCCCTTC